CGATCCGTATCAAGGAGAGGTCTTGCTTGCGTCAATGGCCCCTTTGGATGTCCATGGGTATGCCGACTCCGAGGGACGGGATGATGATGCTATGCTGGTGCCAGTGCTGGTTCTGGTGCCTTTGCTCGGGTTGTGTTGTTCAGTTGTTCATCGTGCAGCAACGCGATGCCTGGGCTAAGCAGCGCTAAGCCACAGCTTCCCCAGTCTGTTGACATGAGGTGAGAATATGGAGCAAGCTAATGAAAGGGGACCAGGGAAAAAAAAGAGAGACAGTGACGCGAGGTACCTTTCCTTCACTTTGCTGCAGACTATGGAGCAGCCCAGGGTAGGTAAGGTACCTTAGTTTTCTGTGTCTACCGTGCCTTGGCTCAAGGTGCACCAAGAAGAAAGAAAGAACGACAGTACCTGCTCGGTACAGCACAACATACGTAGCCAAGGCAGGTAAGGTAGGTACGAATATTCATAGTTGGGAAGGAGGAAAGCAGCAACAAGTCTCATCTCCTCGTTTGTACCTCGTCTCAGGGAAACAGGCTGGGGAGGGATGCAAAAGTGACTTCTCCTTTTCTCATGCCGCACCATCTCCATGTACCTTGTGTCCTTGAATTTGGTCTCCCTCTCCCTCTCTGCACTGCTGCAGCAACGGAAAGGAAACTGTCTGCTCGCTGCCGAGTCCCCATCCTCATCTTCGCCCACCTCAGCCCAGTCGGGCCAATCCTAGAGCTATTCTCATCCATCCTAACTACCTCAGCCATCCTCTCCACCTGGCGCTTCCACGCTCGCTCTCTCCTAGCTGCAGGTTTCTGGTTCCCACCAAGCAAGGCCGCCAGCCCGTCAGGACCCTTTTTTAACCATTTGCTGCCCCATCCTGCATCACCACCCTCTCCCCTTCTACTCCTCCTGCCCCCCAGCCCTTCATCCATCTTTACATCCTTCTCTTTTTTTTCCTCCTTCGCTTCACCAATCGTTACTGGGGTTGTGGCTTTCTTGGCCGCACATCTCCCTAACCTACAGCGCCTTTGTTCGCGCTCATCGCGTAACACAACCAACCCGACCTAGGCCTCTCTGTCCGAGTCCCTCGGCTGACGATATAATCAAACCCACCTAATCTTGCCCGCAACGGAGCAGAGGAAAAAACCTTTCCCATCATTCATCGCATTCATATCAGCATCAGCTACTCCTGAATCCGCCTCTAGCAAACATGGCTTACCGCGGGGGGCATGAAAACGATTACGATGGCGGCCATAATATGCAGGACCTGCCGCCTGGATCTGGTAGAGGAGTAAGCTTCACCTCCCACTCGCTCGCCGCGCAAAGTAGCCTCAATTGCTAACCTGGTTCTTCCCAGTACCATCTGCCTCCTCAAGATGAGGGAGTTGACGAAGCCGGCCAATCTCTCCTGAGAGACCCTCACGCACCTGCTCCCTACGAGAGCCACCTTGGAACTGACGAGACTCCTGGCCGCCCAGTCTCCGCATACAGTCTCACAGAATCATACGCTCCTGGTGCCGGAGCTCGGACACCAGTTCCTGGCGAGACGGCTTTCGCGTCTGGCTACAGCAATGAGCTCGACTCGGATGCTGGTGGTTTTGGCTATGGAAACAGACCCCCCTCCACCGTGGATGCCGACGAGAGCTGGACCCGCAGACAGCAGCCCGGCAACCAAGGTGGTGGTCTGAAGCGTTATGCGACCCGTAAGATCAAGCTTACTCAGGGTTCCGTCCTGAGCATCGACTACCCAGTCCCCAGTGCCATCAAGAACGCTGTCCAGCCAAAGTACCGCGATGTTGAGGGCGGCAGCGAAGAGTTCATGAAGATGCGCTACACCGCCGCCACTTGCGATCCCAACGACTTCACCCTCAAGAATGGTTACGATTTGCGCCCGAGAATGTATAACCGACACACCGAGCTCCTCATCGCAATTACCTACTACAACGAAGACAAGGTGTTGCTCTCCAGAACTCTCCACGGTGTAATGCAGAATATTCGCGATATTGTCAACCTGAAGAAGTCTACCTTCTGGAACAAGGGTGGCCCAGCTTGGCAGAAGATTGTCGTCTGTCTGGTTTTCGACGGTATCGAAAAGACCGACAAGGCCGTATTGGATGTTCTTGCAACCGTCGGTATCTACCAGGATGGTGTCGTGAAGAAGGATGTCGACGGAAAGGAGACAGTCGCTCACATCTTCGAGTACACCTCTCAATTGTCCGTCACGCCCAATCAGCAGCTTATCCGTCCCGTTGACGACGGCCCATCCACTCTCCCACCTGTGCAGTTCATTTTCTGCCTGAAGCAGAAGAACAGCAAGAAGATCAACTCTCACAGATGGCTTTTCAACGCCTTCGGCCGCATCTTGAACCCCGAAGTCTGCATTCTCATCGATGCCGGTACCAAGCCTAGTCCCCGCTCGCTGCTCGCGCTTTGGGAGGGCTTCTACAACGACAAGGACCTCGGTGGTGCTTGTGGTGAGATTCACGCCATGTTGGGTAAAGGCGGCAAGAAGCTGCTCAATCCCTTGGTTGCCGTCCAGAACTTCGAGTACAAGATCTCCAACATTTTGGACAAGCCTCTCGAGAGCTCTTTCGGATACGTCTCTGTGTTGCCCGGTGCTTTCTCCGCCTACCGCTTCCGCGCGATCATGGGTCGCCCGCTGGAGCAGTACTTCCACGGTGACCACACTCTTTCCAAGATCCTTGGTAAGAAGGGTATCGACGGAATGAACATCTTCAAGAAGAACATGTTCTTGGCCGAAGATCGTATTCTTTGCTTCGAGCTGGTCGCCAAGGCCGGCCAAAAGTGGCACTTGTCGTACATCAAGGCCGCCAAGGGTGAGACCGATGTTCCCGAGGGCGCTGCTGAGTTCATCTCCCAACGTCGTCGTTGGCTCAACGGTTCCTTCGCTGCCTCTCTGTACTCTCTCATGCACTTCGGTCGCATGTACAAGTCCGGCCACAACATCATCCGCATGTTCTTCTTCCACGTCCAGCTCATCTACAACATCCTCCAGGTTATGTTCACATGGTTCAGTTTGGGTTCCTACTACCTGACTACGACGGTTATCATGGATCTTGTCGGTACCGCCGTCACCTCCGACGACCCCGATGTGGCCCGCAGCGGTTGGCCCTTCGGAGACACCGCCACACCCATCGTTAACGCCCTTCTCAAGTACCTCTACCTGGCCTTCGTTATTCTGCAGTTCATCTTGGCTCTGGGTAACAGACCCAAGGGCTCTAAGTACACCTACATCGCCTCTTTCGTCGTCTTCGGTCTCATTCAATCCTACATCCTGGTCCTTTCGATGTACTTGGTCGTCCAGGCCTTCCAGAAACCCATTGGCGAGCAGATCAGTCTCGACTCCGGTGAGGACTTCGTCGCTAGTTTCTTCGGAGGCACGAACGCTGCCGGTGTCATCCTCGTCGCCTTGGTCACTATCTACGGTCTTAACTTCATCGCTTCCTTCATGTACCTCGACCCCTGGCACATGTTTACCTCTTTCCCTCACTACCTGGTGCTCATGTCGACCTACATCAACATTCTCATGGTCTACGCCTTCAACAACTGGCACGATGTGTCTTGGGGTACAAAGGGTTCAGACAGTACCGAGGCTCTACCTTCTGCACACGTCAGCAAGGGCGAGAAGGATGAAGCTGTAGTAGAAGAAATCGACAAGCCGCAAGAGGATATCGACAGTCAATTCGAATCGACGGTCAAGCGTGCGCTGGAGCCTTTCAAGGAAACTCCGGAGAACGAGAAGCCGGACATCGAAGACTCGTACAAGTCTTTCCGTACCGGTCTGGTTGTGTCTTGGCTCTTCTCCAACACCTTCCTCATCATCGTCATTACGAGTGATAACTTCAACTCGTTCGGCATTGGCGTAAGTTCAAAGGTCCCGAAATACGAGTCAATTACCATACTAACTCTCATTTCTAGAAAACTGCATCAGCACGTACTGCTTCTTACTTCAGCTTCTTGCTGTACTCTACTGCCGTCTTGTCACTTGTCCGTTTCTTCGGATTCTTGTGGTTCTTAGGTAGGACCGGTATCATGTGCTGCTTTGCCAGACGGTAAACAGACACCATGGGGAGATTATCCAGACAGGCGCCGAAGCTTTCGACGCGTGTTGGATGTATATCAGAGGGAAGACTGTACTCTTGCCAGATTTGGCTCATTGCTACAAATCCGCTGGTATTTTACATTCTGGGTACGTGTTAAGTAATGAAGGGCACGGGACTCGGCAGATTCTTGATGAAGTGGGCAGAAGCTCAGTAAAAGTAGTTTCGATTAAGCAGCATTCATGGCGTTTTACATGGATACAATACCTTACGCTTAGTATCAGACAATGACAATGATTTTAAACATGATTCCTCAGTCTACACGGACGGGTCTTCAGAGACAAGTGATCAAATTTGAACGTATTTGATTTCACAGACTTATTGCATGCCATCGAGCGGTTAGACAGAGAAAAAGAAGCCTCCGGCCAACTTGGCGGCTGCATAAAGGCGCGCGAACGTCGGGCGACCATGGTACATGGACGCCGAAATCCAAAGACTCTTGAGTATCCCTATACGTAGCCACGGAATGTTTCCGTTCTTTCATGGCTTCTATTGCATTTCTCCATTTGTTCAGACTGCTGTTGTTCAATACTTGTTCAAAGGCCAGGATCTGAGGCAAGCTTACGGGAGAGGCTCTTAGGTCGGTAGATCCCCGGGTAAACAGTACACCGACCCTATCTTATCGCAACCAGAAAGTGACCGCATTGACTGGTGCTCAGTTGGTCCGCTCCAGGCACCTTCCCGTCCCAAGATCGCAAGACTCCGGGCAGAGACGATTACCTTATACTGAACTTGTTGTTCGACTGCTTTGTCTCCGCGCAAATACCACTGATTCAGGAAAACACCATATTCCACCCAGGTCGTGTGCGTACCTTCGTTTCCCGCCTCGTCATTCCCGCAGAGCGCCCCACCAACTCCTCCCGCCAGACACCCCGCCAGAGATCGGACAAGATGCTAAAGATTTGGTCTATGGTATGTGACCACCGGAACCTCTCGGTCAAGAGGACTACTGACACCTCTTATAGAAGAAGGAGCAGCAGAAGGCTGAAAATGCCGACGCTGCGGGTGGCAAGAAGAAGAAGGTGACTGCCGCGCAACTTCGTGTACAGAAAGGTCTGAACCCCTCAACCAGCCAAGGAAAGAAAATCGTGATCTAGTTGCTCACGCTCGCTTCCAGATCTCTCGGAACTATCTCTCGGATCAACGATGAAGACCGACTTCCCTGACGCTGACGACATTCTCCACTTCACGCTTACGATCGAGCCCGATGAGGGCATGTACCGGACCGGACGATTCACCTTCACATTCGACATTAACCAAAACTTCCCCCACGAGCCACCGAAAGTCCGTTGCAAGGAGAAGATTTACCACCCTAATATCGATCTGGAGGGCAAGGTGTGCTTGAATATTCTGCGCGAAGACTGGAAGCCCGTCCTCAATTTGAACGCAGTCATTGTCGGACTCCAGGTATGTTAAGAGCAGAAAGCACGACTGTGTACGCGCACCGACTAACAGATCTCTTTTTTCGCAGTTCCTGTTCCTCGAACCGAATGCCTCTGACCCTCTGAATAAGGAGGCTGCCGATGATCTCAGACTCAACCGTGAGGGATTCAAGCGCAATGTCCGGACCGCGATGGGCGGCGGTACTGTCCAAGGACAGAGCTACGACCGTGTGTTGAAATAAGATCTACAACAGCAAGGGGATCGCGTCCTTCTCGCTGCTGGACTTTTCTCCAACAACATGACCCTTTGGCGAGGCAAGAGGCCAGCCCGGATTTGATACCAGAGACGGACGGACAGGCTGCTGGTTCGCGGAAGGGTGGATTGCGCATGAAGGGGTCGGTGGGCATCAAAAGCAAGCATCGTCGTCAGGCGTTTGGGGAGACAAGATTACAAATTACAAGAGGTCAAGGTTCTGGCAAGACATCAAGCCCAGTTTAGAGATAGCACTAGCGAGAGCGCAGCACAGAAGGGTTCGTTGATGCGCTCTAGAAGGGAGCGGAAGGCAGATGGCAGATAAAGATGTAGTGGCTAGCGGGAAGAAGTGGTGAGCTTCGAGAGATCGTAGAAGCATAGCTGGAATGCAAACAGCGTTGCCGTGTCACGGCAGGAGAAGAAGCAAACATGGAGAATGGAAACCAATCAACGGGCCGATTGACTCCCCATCAATGGTATCCGTACTCCGGACAAGCAGGTCAACAAGAAGAGTCAGAGCTCCTCTCGAGAGGAGTCACAGCAGCTCAGCGCCGGCGACCGGTCAGCAGCTGTAGCTGTCAAGAGAGGCCGAAGGCATAGGTCAACGGCCGTAGCCGGCGCCCAGTAGTCGGTGAGATTCCGCCTGCGGCCCATCTGGTGTGACTCCTGTCTGGCCACTGGGCTACGATGTCGGTGTGGTGGGCTCTCCCCTGCTCCACAGCACCCGCCTCGCCGGCAATAACGTTGATTGCTCCCCGAGGTTCTTAGGTAAGGCCGCTGTCAAATGAGAACCGGACCAAGTAGAGGTTACCCGCTCCGCCCAGCAAAGTCCCTGCCTTCTTCAAAGTCCCCAGTACCCGCTCTCCCACTTGGAGGACCCCCTACCGAACCCCGGACGCTTCCAGACATCTTCCCCACCATTGGCACAGGCCAGCAGCAGGACGACGCAGCAGGCTAACCCACCAACGACCAAGCTGGGCCGAAGTCGGGGGTCAGCTCGCCCGTCTCTACGCCAGTAAAAAATTTCCCAATTCCAAACGCCTTTTTCCCATCAGTGAAACTCTGTTCTCTTCATCCATCTCTTCCTTCTTCTTCCTTACAATTGACTTGTACGGATACCCTCTCCACTCCCTCCTCCCCCAACACACAGTCAGAATGGCCTCCCGCAGCTTCTCCAAGGCGCTTCGTTCGCCAATGGCCCGCCAATTGGCGGCCAAGCCTGCCACCCAGCAGCGCACCTTCGTTGCTGCTCGCCAGCTCGTCCGCGCCTCTGCCCAGGTCAACAAGGCCTTCGTCGCTCCTGCCCAGCAGCAGGCTCGCGGTGTCAAGACCATGGACTTCGCCGGCCACAAGGAGGACGTCTACGGTAAGGAAAACGATTAGAGCTGATGAGTCTTTTTGCCCTGTCGTGAATGACTCGCCAGGGAAGACAGAGGGAGAGATTTGCTAACGTTGATGCCACAGAGCGTGCCGACTGGCCCCAGGAGAAGCTTCTTGTGAGTCATAAACAATCATGGAGGTTTGGAAGGGAGTCAATTGGAACTGACAATTGTTTGTAGGAGTACTTCAAGGACGACACCCTCGCCCTCATCGGCTACGGCTCCCAGGGTCACGGCCAGGGTCTTAACCTCCGTGACAACGGCCTCAACGTCATCGTTGGTGTCCGCAAGAACGGCCAGTCCTGGAAGGACGCCCAGCAGGACGGCTGGGTTCCCGGCAAGAACCTCTTCGATGTTGATGAGGCCATCTCCCGCGGTACTATCGTCATGAACCTTCTCTCCGACGCCGCCCAGTCCGAGACCTGGCCTGCCATCAAGCCCCAGCTCGTCAAGGGCAAGGTGCGTCATTTCTCGCACCATTGAGCAACAGCTCAATTGGGCCTTCAAAGCTGACATTCAATACAGACCCTCTACTTCTCCCACGGCTTCTCCCCCGTCTTCAAGGACGTCACCCACGTCGACGTCCCCAAGGACATTGACGTCATCCTCGTTGCCCCCAAGGGCTCTGGCCGCACCGTCCGCTCCCTCTTCCGTGAGGGCCGTGGTATCAACTCCTCCTTCGCTGTCTTCCAGGACGTCACTGGCAAGGCCAAGGAGAAGGCCCAGGCTCTCGGTGTCGCCATCGGCTCCGGCTACCTCTACGAGACCACCTTCGAGAAGGAGGTCTACTCCGACCTGTACGGCGAGCGTGGCTGCCTCATGGGAGGTATCCACGGTATGTTCCTCGCTCAGTACGAGGTTCTCCGTGAGCGCGGCCACTCCCCCTCCGAGGCCTTCAACGAGACCGTCGAGGAGGCCACCCAGTCCCTGTACCCCTGATCGGTGCCAACGGCATGGACTGGATGTACGAGGCCTGCTCCACCACCGCCCGCCGCGGTGCCATCGACTGGTCCCCCAAGTTCAAGGACGCCCTCAAGCCCGTCTTCAACAGCCTGTACGACGCTGTCAAGGATGGCTCCGAGACCAAGCGCTCCCTGGAGTACAACTCCCAGAAGGACTACCGCCAGAAGTTCGAGGCTGAGATGGAGGAGATCCGCAACCTTGAGATCTGGAGAGCCGGCAGAGCCGTCCGGTATGTTGTGACAACACTCGAATCTATACACTATGATGATCACTGGCTAACGTTTATCTTTCCCACAGCTCTCTGCGTCCCGAGAACCAGAAGTAAGCGGTTCGGCGTTTTTGCTTTGGGAGAAGATAAAAATTTTACTCGGAATGGCCATTTCTTAACCACTGTGCCGGGGACGGGGGACTTTTGTACTTTATATGACCGGATTCTAGGGGATCTGGGCCTGGTTCAAAAGTTTGCATCTTGACTTTTGGGATCCTTCAATACCATTTCTTTTGCTGTCCATGAACACAATGCTTCAATCATCTCGTCTTTTTCTCGTCAATTGGTGATTGTGCAAATGTCTGTGCCAGTTCCCGGAGATGTCGGGTTATGCAGGGACCCAAGACTGACTCGTCAGGCCCGTTGATACTTTTCACAGATCGCGCTAGCTGCTGCTGGACCCGAACCAAATTGGCACCCCCACGCCAGCGGTAGTGTTTTAACTTTGAAGACATTTGCTGACAATGCAGCGGCGGTGTGGTGTAGCATGCGCCTGCAAGTTTTATGGCGGTGTTGAGTCCATGACCAGGACTTCAGAAGTTCAGCCTCCGATGCTCGGTCAAATTCGAGAACGCTCGGTACCAGTAGATTCTAGTCAATTAGATGTGCCCGGGAGTTTATTGCACGGGAGAACTTAATTACCCTTTTTCAACTCGTGGTACGAAATGACGTTGTCACTATCCTCTAGCTAGTGGCGCGTTCAATCGTGCAAGACGAGCACTACCCTTGCTGAAATATGAAGGAACGGATATAGACGTATAAATAATGTTGTCTACCTTGCCTAGTTGATTACTTTCATCTAGGCCGCCGCTGTGCTGCTGCATTTTCACATGCATCCCATTTGACCAGTTTCCTGCATCGCACAGGCAGTGCCCTTCCGAAACTTTGAAAGCCTAACGTGAGATGTCGGAGCTAAGTCGCTGCAACTCATGAGGTCTAGCTGGAGAGGGTCATAGCTGAATTGATTTTTGGGCGTTATATTAGGATCCTTGGAGTTGGCACAAGCTTCACCTCAACATCATGCGTGAGTCTTTGAGAAAAGGCGATTCGAGAATAGAGGCCAACCTCACCTTGCGCGCTATCGGTGATCTCGGTGAAGGCCCCGGTGTGCCAATTTGCTGTAGCGACCCTGAGCCCCACCAACCCCCTTTGTCTGTGCATTCTCCCGGTAGTCGTTGCTCTGTCAACAGCAAACAAGCCTGGGCCCCTTCGCACCCCCTTCATCTCACAAGCGAGCCCAAAATGGGGTTTTGCTAGACATCCTATCGAAATATCAATCAATTGACGATTTACCTCACCTTAGTTTTCGCGCTTCCAACGCTTCCAACGCTTGTAAACCAAACGAAACCTCTTCTAGCTTTTTTGGAGTTCGCGCACAATGACGCCGTTGTCACCGACAAACGAATCAAGACTGAACATTGCAACGACCCTAACTGAAGACGCAGCGAGCCGCGGTTTCTTTGAGCACTGCGAGGTGGTCCACTCCCGCACTGAGACAACCACGAGCGGCGGTAATGAGAGCGGCAGCGACAGCTCCTCCACCACCCCAACCACAACCAACACTACAATCACCTCTTCCCACTCCGTAGACGACAACATCCGAGACCAGGAGAACATGCCGCCTTCTCCCTCGGATTCCTCGCCGTCGCCGCCGCCCTCTGCGCCGGCGACGGCAATCAAGCCGCAGCGCCACTCACGCGTCATGTCTGGCACCGCACCCTCACCGCTCAAGCTACTCGCCGGCTCCGAGACAACGGAAAAGCAAGCGCGGAGCCCGCTTCGCAAGACAGTAATCTCGCCTGACGGCGTCAAACGCTTCCCTATCAGAGTCAGCAACCCGTCCGTCGAGCCCGCGTCACGTTCCATCTCTCCTCCGACCGTCTCTCCTCCGCCTCGCGAACGCACAATCAGTCTCGAGGACGCCATGCGTGACAACGAGGGCCTGAAGCACGCCATCCAGATCTTCGAAGACGACGATACAGAGCTGGAGAATGATGAGACCATTGGCGGCGACACAACCACAATGAGCGCGGGCGAGGGCGAGGGCGAGCACCCTGACCTGGGCCACGCGGGCTGCGAGGACCAGAGCAGTCTCGCCAACCCCGACGAGTCGATGATGAGTGCATTCAGCACCTTCTCTGCCGTTCCCAACTTAACCATGTTCGCGAAACTCGGTCAGTCTCCTACAAAATACGCGAGCGTCAGCGGCATGACCCCGCGAGGGAGGCCAGAGACCGTGCACGAGCAGCAGGAGACTCCAAGGCGGCATTCGGGACAGGACTCTGATAGCAATACTACCAATCTGTTGGATTTCACGGCCAGCCAGCGATTCCCGCACAAATCGCCGTCCAGGCGGGGCAACACCTCACCCTCCAGAGCAAACCCTAATGGCACTCCGGCCCGCCAAATGTCAAACCTCCTCGACTTTGACATTCCCGCCCTGCCTACTCCTCGCAGCATCCCGACTATTACACCCAGAGAACTCGAAAGTCTAAAGTCGAACTTTTTGTCCGAAATCAGCAGCCTCAAAGCATCGCTATTGGGCAAGGAGGCAGAGGTGACCTCTTTGAAGACGGCTGTGGGCGATGCGGAAAAACGAGTCGGCGAGAGCTTGGAGCAGGCCCGTGAAGAGCGGACGATGCGAGAGCAGGTCGCTGAAGAGAAGGAGATGTGGGAGAAGAGCAGTCGCGAGATGGAAAAGGTCCTCCGGAGCGTAAAGGAGGAGATTGTCCACACACAGCAGGAGCGCGAGGAGCTCGAATCCAAGCTTGCAGAGAGTGAGGGACGACGCGAGGCTGCTGAGACTATGGCTCAGGAGGCCGAGAGTAAGCTGGCTAGTTTCCGCGCCGGCAAGTCCACTGACGACAAACCCTCCTCGCCCAGAGGCGGTGCGGCCGCGACCTCCAAGGAGGTTGAGATTGCGGTGGAGCGCGTGGCCCGCGAGCTGCACGCTCTCTACAAGGGCAAGCACGAGACCAAGGTTGCGGCGCTCAAGAAGAGCTACGAGACCCGCTGGGAGAAGAAGGTGCGCGAGCTGGAGATCAAGATTGAGGAGCTCACCGAGGAGAACGACAAGATCCGCCGCGACAGCACCATCACCCGCGTCGATCCTGCCCAGGTCGCCGCCGAGGAGGAGTTCAAGGCCCAAGCCGTCCGCGACTCAGCTCACATCAAGGAGCTCAGCGCCGACGTCCACAGGCTCGAGGCCGTTGTCATGTCGGTCAAGAGAGACAACTCGGAGCTTCGCGACCTCCTCGCCCAGGAGCGCGTCGAGAAGGGCGAGCTGGTCCAGCTCGCCGAGGAGATGATGGCGATCCAGAACGCCGCGCCTCCGCCGCCAACCCCGGCGCCCAAGCCCGCGCCGACACCTGTTGCCTCGCGGACACCCGGTCCCCCGGTTAGGAGCCACACGGAGAACAACTTCCGCAGCAGCATCGGCCGCAGCTCGGGCCTTAAGGCGCCTGGATCCATCGCCGCGCGCGGGTCCCTTCACGAGCGTAACGGCAGCGCTGGTCCCGCCACCAAGGGCCTTCCGAGACCCAGGCCGATGAGTGAGTTCGGGCCCCGGAGCGGCATCATGAGCTCGATCGAGAAGATGGGCAACTACCGCGGACGCGGGGACTAGAAGACCCAGTCGTCTTGATGAACAAACGGCCTCCTTTTGAATCGGTCGGTAATTCCGTGCCGACCTTTCCTATTTTCTTTTCTTAATTCTTAAATTTACCCACGAAACGAACGAAACCAAACGATGAACGGAACAAAGCATTAAAGTGGCGGATGGAGAGTGAAAGACAGCAATTGTCTGGATGCAGTGAAGAGAATAAGGGGAAGCAAGGGCAGAAGAAGAAGGAGAAGCAGAAGAAGATGAAGCTCATTGACGTAACGAACTGGCGTCTACGGGGTCCTGTGTTTCCGGGCTTTTTTGCTTTGGTTATTTCCATGTTTATGGATAACAGGGCTTTTGTTTATTTGTTCCAACTCCCCTATCCCAATGACACTGAAATGACTGTAAGGGGAAAAGGGGAAACGAAACGAAAGGTGGTGGCGTTTTTGTCAATCTTGTTGTTTAATGGGCGACGACCACTACACCCTCTCCTTTCCGTGTTGGAGTTTTACCATACCTGTTGGACGAGTTAAAACTCCACGTCTGGAACCCAACACCCTTTCTTCTACCATAACTCTTTGAATTGGTAATGTTCAGTTTTTTGTTGCACATAATTGATTCTTCCCTCTCTTTCGTATGTCTGTGTGTGTGCGTGTTATGTATTAAGTGTAGGCAGACGAGAATGTGAGTCTGAGTGTGGGCGTAGGCGAACTCCAAGTATGTCTTTTCTGGCTATGGTTTGATGTCGGGCCTGGCGCTCGCGGCGGCAGTGCTTTATGTCTCTGTTTGTATGTTTTGTTATGGATATGTGAAGTCCGCATGACGGTGACGTCTTTTCCTTCTCGGAGAAGATGGGCGGCTGCCGGTCTGTCTACCTGGCAAATACAAGCCCATCCGAACATCGGGCGAGGTTCTTGATGTTGCCCCGGAATAGATACACACATGCAGGCTGTGGAAATGCATTCCCAAAGCCTTCACATCGAACATCTGACTTCGCTAGAAAGCAATTGTGATGATTGAGCATTACAACGGCGCCCTGAGAGAATGACTCTTTTGATGTTCATCGTGTGTAAGAAGAAGGGTCTGTACATCCATTAGTCCATAGAGATCGACGTGTTCTCACCTACGAGGCACTTGTCTGTGTGTCTTATCTGAGGATGGCCGGCCTTGCTCACGATACGTAGTTGGTCAGACGCAGAAAAAGAAGTTCAAGAGGCGGGCATGCACTTCGTGCACCCATTCAGATGATAATTGAGCAATTCATGGTTATCATGGACAGAGAAATGAACGCCAAAAGCAAAAGAACTTCCGAAACCGAGAATCGAACTCGGGGCTATGCCTAACCTCTCAAGGAGATGAGAGGGCATCATGTTGGCCACTACACCATATCGGATGTGGATAGTTCCATCCTAAAAGATTTTAACTAAGTATTGTAGCAGCTCCACCTTCACTC